ATTCTAGGAGCCCATCTTACCAGTGTACCGGCTGGTGGTGGTGTGAGAGGCTGCATTTGGCTTCAGTGAAATTTTTTTCAAAGGCTCTTTCAATGCATTTGCCTATTTCATGATGGGTGATTTATGCGTGCACCCACCCACACTGTGCTGTCTGGCAGTTTTTCATAAAAATATAATCTTTGTTATATTTTTCCCATTACCACATAGTCCCCTTTTACGCCCCTCCCCTAGCAATCACCACACAAAAATATGGAACGCTTCACGATTTGCGTGTCATCCTTGCACAGGGTCCATGCTAACCTTCCCTGTATCTTTCCAATTTTAGTGTATGTGCTGCTGAAGTGAGCACTGCTCAACAGTTTTTGACCAAAAGCAGCATGACCCCTGCACCCTACTGGTGTGACTTTTTTTGCTTCCCCGGATGAAAAAAGTCCTCAAAGGGAAACGTTTTGCTTATGTGGAAAAGGTAAAACCAAAAAAATGGTCAGATGCACTAAAAGGCATCAAAATTGACTGTTCAAAACCGTCTAGAGCAGTGGAAAAAATGTCTCAGTAAGTGCATGCATCAAATAGAGAGTACTTTAAAGGTGACTGAAGTCTGAACATGTAAGAATACACAATTTTTTTATAAATAAATTTTGGGGTTTTTTGGGTCCCACCTCATAGAGCAATTCAAATCAAACATGCAAACACGCATGTTTGTTAATCAAACATGCCAAAACCTCAAACTACTTTACTGCTCTTTGCACATTTTAATTTTAAAAGAAGGGATTATATATCAGGTACACAAGTTGTTTGGAATTAAAAAAGCAGGTAAACACATCAAAGGAGAGAGGTTTAAGACAGATTTTATATTCTTTTCAAACAATACTGGAAACTATTAACTGATCTTCACAAAAATGACTTATGCAAAAATATCGTAAAGGGCCTTCTGAATGAGTGCATTTATAAAGTAAGCAAATACTTCCCTTTACAGGCATGGTGTATCAAGATTAGTTGGTGCACACACATAAATAAATAAAATAGCATACTTTCAGCACAAGTCAGATGTTCAATAATTGCTGACTGAATGTAAATACAATCTTTAATCAAAAGGTAACCAATTGACTAGACAGCCTTTCTCAAAACAAATTCTAACATTTTTTAGAAAGAAATGACTCTGTCATAGACCTAAATTATTCTTACCAAATAAAAAAAAACAGACTATAAAATAAAAGGAGTTACAAATCCTAAGATAAATGCAGTTTCCTGTGATGACAAATTGGAATGCAGTGTAATTTGAGACAAACTGTTCCACAGGGTAGTTCAAAGGAGACTTCTAACAAATACCAGAGGGATTCTGTACTGGTTTTAAGATTCAGAAATAAGATAACAACAAAGCGGACAGTAGAGCTTCCATCCCAAGAAATAAAAAGGATTTATATCCTTACAAAATTTTCCTGTCTTAATCTCTGTTGAATTCTTTTAAATCTTATTTCCACACTGCATTACAAATCAACCCCTTACCTTCTCAGCTTCTTTTCATCAGCAGCTGTATCTGCCGTCATTGCTCTTAGAATTGCATTTATTAGAACAAATTTAAAGTTGTTTCATAAAAATATTTTTTCTCTCCACAATCTGTTTTTCAAATTGCATGAATAATTGGGGGTTTATCATGTACTCAGAAAATATTATATGAATTAAAATCAAGTTAAGCCTATAAAAAAGATTTAATGTGCCTGAATACAAATTATTTTTTCCCCACTTAAAGTTACCCCCACTGAAAAGGACATGGAGCCTTATTCTCTTTGGAAGACTTAAAATTCTGAATGTGTATTCAGATTTTACAAGTATGTCCCTCAAACAACTTAGAAGTTGATATGATATGCTTTGGTAAACTCTGTCCAAAGGCTCAAAAAGGATGCAGTGATGACAAATGTTGGTGTCAAAGATGTACGAGAGGACACGGAAACTGTTCTACAACTTAAAATTTAAAAAGTATTTTAGTGTAACATACAATTGACATTTAAAACTTTTACGTGTATCTCTAAAAGCTTATAAATATTTTTTTTACTAAAAACCTTTTCTTTGGGGAATTGTCATTGGGAAAGTGAGGGCATAGACTTATATTTTTGGCTAGATTCAGAACTCAAGTTTTAGAGACATTTTTATGTTATGCATATGAATGGAAGGTAGAGTAATATAATAAAAATATAAGAGTATGAAAATTAGGTTGATTACCTCCTCAAAGAGACCTTCCCGGAACACCTCAGCTTATGTATCATCCAGTCATTCTTTTTTTAAAGTGTATTTTATTGATTATGCTATTACAGTTGTCCCAATTTTTCCCCCTTAATCCCCCTCTGCCTGATATCCCCCCTTCCTTACAGAAATCTACCCCCGTCCCCAGCAGTTCATGTCCAATGGGTTGTGCATCAAAGTTCTTTGGCTTTTCCTTTTCCTGTGCTACTATTAACATCCCTCTATTTTGTACCTACCAATTTTTATGCTTTTTAATACCTGCACCTTTTCCCTCATTCGCCCTCCCCCCGCTCAGCTGATAACACTTCAAATGATCTCCATACCTATGATTCTGTTCCTGCTCTAGTTTGCTTAGATTGTTTTTTTAGACTCAGTTGTTCGCAGTTGTGAATTTATTCCACTACTTTGTTTTGTTTTTCACGTATCACTTATGGTGTGAAATGAATTATTTACCTGTTTAGTATCTGTCTCTGTTGACTAGAATGAGAACTGCACCAGGCAGGGACTTTGGCTTGTCCTATGAAACTGAAGGCAGTAATGAAGTTTGTAAGCATGAGGGGAAAGGAAGGAGGCGATGAAAGCAAAAGCAGGTGGAGTGGAGGGAGGGCTCCAGCAGTTTATTTAGTCTCTAAGTCAGGTCTCTGTGGGTTGGGCTGGTGTTCATGTAATGGCTATATCTAAACCCAGGGCCATCTACGTATTTGCTCATTCTTCAAGATACACAAAAGGAACCTCCCCCTGCCCCCAAACCAGATAAATCCTGGAATTCAGTTTCTTCAGATAATTCTTCTTCAAGTTCCAAAACAATAATATTTACAACCAACCAGGGATTTTTGGTGTATAATGCTAGCTCAATTTTAAATTTCTTCTATTCTTGTTTTTAGAACCAGAAACATGCTCGAGGAGGAAAATACTACATTTTTTCATGGTCCGTTTCAAAGTACAGATTACTAAGTATAACTGAATATTCAGATAAGATTGTTTTCATTTTTTTGAAGAAATTCAAACTTATGAAATAAAAATATCATGAAGACAGTATCAGTATCAACAGAATCTGAGAGTAGTTTAAAGAAAGCATCTTTAATTAGAATATTTAACTTTTGGTTTACCTAAAAGAAACATTTTTAAATAATAAATATGTAAATATTTTTATAACCAAACACAAATCAAATGGCTGAGGCAATGTCATTTTTTGAATAACAGTTAAGATTATTGCTTTAATACCTGTTTAAGTGTTTTGATTTTTACACACTATTTTCAAATAAAACAACTATATGGACAAAAATATATGTGATCTTGATCTTGATATTGCTTTAGTTCTATAGCATTTTTTCAAATTCCTTTCTTTTGATGGCAGTTCTTTGCTTGACCTTCCTCTTTTAAAGATCTGTTTGTTAGAGAAGAACCCTAAGTATTCTGAATTCTATGCCATTCAGTTAATGTGGCTAAAGAAACTTTCCTGAGGGTTATTAGTGCTTTCTAAATTCAAAATTCACTTTACAGTAGATATAGCTGAATTACACTCTGTTTGGAGACCTGTGCTAGATAACAATTTGCTAACTTAAAAAAGTTGGAGAGAACACTGAAAGTTAGCTATCTGTGCAAATTTATTACCACATTTTAGGGCCTGCTAGCACATGAGAAAATGCTATCTAGTTGTGAGGAATCTGTTTGACTGAAATCTCACAGCAAACAGGAATAGTTGTTGGTGGTCAGAGAGGTTTCTGAAGATCACAGTTATACACTATACCCTGCTGTTCTACAATGGTTATCATTAAGGCATTTCTTACTTTTGTGCATTATTGAAAAGGAAAAAAAATTTGTGACCCCAGCACTAAAAACTTGTATTTATGCTACATTATTTAAATAACTAAAGTAACACAAAACTAGTAGCATAAGCTAAAGACATTGTTCCCTATTATTTGCCACAAAATCATCAAAAACTGTTTAAATTATGAAATACAAATACAAAAGATAATATTGCGGAAAAGGCTGTTATAAAAAGATGTGAAATGTGCTTTAATTTCAATATAATGAAATAATAATGAAATAAAACTGCTTCAAACAAATATTTTAAAAATTTCTACTCAACAACACTGAAAATGTGTAAAAACTATTACAATATAGTTTTATAAATAAAAATCAGAAAATATTGATTTAAAGCAATTTGCCATGCTGGACATAGTAAAATTGTAAACTACATAAATAAAATATCAAGAATTATAAAATTATTGTCCTGACAACCAATACAAGTAAAAAGAATCCTATTTTAATCTAAGTCAAATGGTATAACACTATCATAAACAATGTACCAAAAATATCAGAAACAAATTCTTAAGATTTCAGTACTTTTGCTTAACCTTAATCACAGTAAATGTCACATTTAACTCTTCTCATTCTATTAGAATAATCTCAAAGAAATCTTTATATAACTGTAATAGCTGTGATAGGAACATTTCAAAAACAAATTTCAAAAAATCATGTTTCCAATGGCTAGGTGGATACTGAAAATAGCCTCGTTCAGAGTTCACTAAAATAAGTGCGTGGGAATACTTATGGTATTTTAGATGTCAGAAACTGATTTCCCACTGCATTATATGATATGCTTTGTTGCAGTTAAAAACTGTATAAAGTGTTATATGATTTATATTTCCTACCACACTTACATGTATTTAAAATGTTAACATAAAAGTATACTAGTAAAAATACTTGAAAAAACTTGTAAATCTCTCCTTTATTTCAGTAGACAGAAAACTGTTTCACCGTCCTGGATGAAAGAGCTCTTGATGTTGCCATGGAACTGGAAGAAAAAAATAAAACACAAAGATTTGAGAAAGTTAAAGACGCAAACTAATGGCACATAATAGTACAGTGAAGAGGCCTGAGTTAAGTTAAAGCCGAAGAGATCAAAGTTTTAATCACACATCTGCCCGTCCCTTGCCATGGGATCCTGAGCAAGTGATTTAAGCTTCCCTAAGAAGTTTCTTCATCTGCAAAAGAACAATCGTTTCTAATCTCTCTCAGGCATCTTGTGATAAATAAATGGAATCAAGGACACAATGTGTCTGGAACACAGGGCTCACTCAGTCCCTTCCTTTAGTTCCATTTATGGTGTTGAGCAGGAGCATCATGACCCACCCAGCAGGTGGTTGGAGGGATTTTCACACTAAGAATATAGTTCCTGTAAGTGTGTGAGGTAATCTCCACAGATTATTTGCACTCATGAAAACTAAATGATGTGCTTATATTGCCTCCTAATTTTTTCAGAGTCACTTTTGGATACTATAATAAATAGATAATCATTTCTCCTCTTTTTTTCTCCTTTTATTTTCACTCAAATAATATAACCAAAGAGGTAACAATTAAAAATTTCGAGAATCAAAGCTGAACTTGATTTCAGAGATGTCCTTTTTAGCATCACGACAGTTTAAGAACATTTTTAAAAAGATTTTATTTATTTATTTTTACACAAAGGGGAAGGGAGGAAGAGAGGGAGAGAAACATCAATGTGTGGTTGCCTCTCGTGTGCCCCCTACTGGGGGACCTGGCCCACAACCCAAGCATGTGTCCTAAACTGGGAGTCGAACCAGCAACCCTTTGATTTGAAGGCTGGCACTCAAACACTGAGCCACAGAAGCCAGGGCTAAGAACATTATTAAGAACACCAGAAAGTTCAAACTACAAGAATCTTTATGAAACAGTTACATTCAAGATGTCTGCTTTAATTCATAGCTTTGCCACATCTATGGTTGGTGTATTCATCATCATAGCACAAGGAGCAGCAGTAATGTATCAGATTAACCAAAAAGGATTATATACTCCCCAGACCTTCCTTTAGAGTTTTTTCCAGATTTGTTCTTGGTGAAAAATTCCCAGTCCTGTTTAAATTCATTTGGTGGGGCAGAGGAGGAAGGAAAGATACACAGATAATTGTAACATCACACAACATTCAGATGCCTTATCATGTTGAGAAGTGCACACAAAAAGTACTGTGGGAGAACAGTTCCAAATTCAATGTGGCTTGCGTACAGAAATGAAAGCGGTGGGAAAGGAGGCTATATACCCAGGATTGTGAAGGACCCTGCATTCCAACCTAATTTGAATTTTATCCTGTAGGTGTTAGATGCCAAGTGTCAGCTCCAATGCAAAGGTGCCACTGTGACAAATTTCTTTTTTTTTCCCTTCCTTGTTTGTGAAGCTCTTTTAGGTGAGGGGTTATTCCTTTTTTCTCTTTTAAAATCCATTTTTAAATTATAGTTGACATACAATATAGTATTAGTTTCAGGTGTACAATATAGTATTTATAAATTTATATACCTCAGGAAGTGATCACAGTAAGTCTAGGAACCATCTGTCACTATACACAGTTAATATGATATTGACAATATTTCCTATGCCGTCCTGATTAGGCTTTTCCCTTAGAAATAGAACTATGTTAATAGGCTGCTATTTGTTCAAATTAGACAAATGAACTGAATTAATTCAATTAATTTTTCTACTTAATAATTTGTAAGAAAGTGCAGGACTGAGACACAATCCTTGAATTTAAAAGAAATTCTCTTACATTTCTCTGGTTAAGACATGAAGAGATTAACTTCACTGACAGTGTATTTTATTTCTAATGGTAGAATGCTTGGATGTTAGTGAATAACTAGTTTTTGCAGAATCAATAATTGCTTTAAAATTATGCTTTAACTTTGGTAAATATGCATTTCAATTTAATTTAAAACATCTATACTATAATCATTATATTTTACAAATAGAATTTATGTTCAAGGAAAAAATGTTCAAGTTCCAATGGCAAACTACCAAGTTGTTCTATCAACACATCTTAACTCCATTTTCACTTCTGCCAAGGTGGCATATTAAAATACAGAAGAACAGTAACTGCTTTATCTGATTGAAGTTTCTTTTTCCACTTGTTATTTTTAACTCTATTTTTCTCCATTTATTAAAAATTGTATATGTTCCCAGTAGAAAAATACAGAAAAACACTTCCTATATACCCCAAACTTTATCACTCAGAGGCAGACAGGATGAAGTACTGGTGTACTTCAATTCAGTATTTCTATGCATTTCTTTGATTACATAGGTAAATTTATATGACATAGTTTTAAAAACTGTCATTAAAAACTTTAATAAACCCCTTAATTGTCAAAGTATATTTCATGGTATGAATTAATTATAATTTTCTTAATGATTCCTGAAATTGAGTTTTGTTGAACATAGTAGTGATAAGAATTTTTTCCCCTTCTTTAACAACATACCTGACAACATAATTTAACTCTACCTAATATTTGAACAAGTCTACATATCTGCACAGAAATATGACTGTTATGTATCATCACTTATAAATTCTATTTGCATAAATATATGAATATGAAAGTAAAAACTCAATGCAAGCAAGCATTAAGACTTGTGAAACTCACCATAAGTCCAAAGAACTTGTGGAAGCACACCTAAATCAGGAGGGTAAGGGTATGCAGCTTGTGGTAGCAGCTGATAGGAAGCACACTGGGAAAAAGCTGGCTGCTGAACATTGGAAGAAACAGGCATCTGAGATGGAAAATACCTATTTGCTGGCATAAGGCCATATGCTCGTGGCTCCCCAGGGAAGTAACCAAAATACTGAGACAGTAAAAGATTAGAATGTACATTTTGGACAGTGCTTGGAACTGCAGTCAAGATCTCAGAAGAAGGTGGCTGTACTTCAAATGATGTTATGCCTTGGTATGTCTGGGTAATGAAACTGCCATTGCTACTGCTGTAATGATAAACATACCAAGCACAGGAAGGAGAGAGAGTTCCAAATGAGTGTTCAGAAGAATTATATATTGGGGTACATGCAGCCTGTGGAAGCTCATTCCAATGTGTGGCAGCATTCTGAGTTAGGACTTTAGAATTTTTATTCTTCTTTTGTTCAGAAGAAGAATTTTTATTATTCTTTTGTTCTGCTGTTTGATTGACATTAAGGGTTATGTTCTCAGATGTTTCAACAGGTACAGTGCTGGGATTCAATGTATCCTTCATAGATTTTTCTTTTGACTCAGTTTTTGCAGGTTGTGTTTCACTTATTTGTTGAAGAGGTATTTTGTTCTGGATAAATATGGGTTCTGGAGATTTAGTGCCTGTAGAATTTTTAATAGATGAGTTTACTATTTCATTATCTTGAAGTTCAAAGACAGTGCCATTCATTTCTAAATTGGCATGGATATCACTCACAAGACAGAAAATAGGCTTTGAGGGCACTAATGCATTAGACAGAAAAGTAGCATCAGTTCCTGATTTTATGTCTGAGGGATCTGGGGAATTGTTAAGAAGTTTCTTCTGTGAAGGTGTTTCATGGTCTTTTGAAAAGGTTCCATGTACACTTTTTTGGTCACAAAATGCAAAAGAAGAACAATCTTTCTTATCACTTTTTGTTTCAGCAGTACTAAAATTCACATTTCTTTTCTTCATGCTATTTACCTTTTCCTGATGTCCAGTGAATTCTTCTGAAGTATTAGATGAAATATTGGTTAAATCATTTTTTCCCTCTGACTTCAACATGCAAGTGTCTTTTAGGTTCTTTAAAGGTAAAGGTGAGACAGGTAGTGATCTTTGCATTTCAACCTTTTTTGGAGATCCATAGTTTCTTTTCAGATTGCCAGATGAACTTGGTCCTATTTCGCTTTCACTTTCTGGATGAGATCTTGTGGTCCTATTAAGTGTAATATGTAATAAAAACCATTTTAAATATACAGTTGCAAAATTTTAATGTAAATATATTTGAAATTTTTATTCAAGAAAAGAGTTCTTAAGATTAGCACTTCTCTCTCTGTTGGCTGTGTATAAGTAACATATTTTCCCAGCTTTACTACCTTGGTTTGAATCTAGATACTTTTCCTGCAGAAGGTGGTATACTCCACATTTCAAATATATATACTTTAAATATATACAGAGCTTCCAATCTTGTAAAAACTTATTTTATGCTTTGGATATTTCCTGATAGAGACCTTTAGAAATAGAAAAGCATCGTCATTCGATTCTTTTAGTGTAGATTCTAGTTCATATGCCTCCAACCCACTGACAAGATTCTTAACACATGGCTACACATCTAACTGGTAAACTACCGAACATGCCCTGCCCCTCCAAGGTCTTCTGTTATCATTAACAACTAAGATATTTTGTCTGTTCAAAGTCGAGAACAGAAGAAGCAAACCTCCAAAATTCCTTGCTAATTTAATATTCTTGTCATTCCTACATAAATGTGGACAGTTTCAAGCAGGCTGAAGGAAGCATCCATTATGGGAATGTATAGAATGAAACAGTTAATACAGGTCCCCAAGGTAAATGTATCTTTTGGTGTCTCATCAAATTCTTTTAATTACATCTGGAAAAGAACATGCTGAAAAGAAAAAGTAACTCCTCCTCTATAGTCAAGCGAAATTAATCTTTGGCTTTGAATTTGTATTTTCCACTTGTGAAATTAAAAGTTCCACGTTTTACTTAATCCAGCTTCCCTCAGAAGCACTTTAATGACAACTAGATTGCCATGTAACGCCATATAACACTTTGACACAGTTTTCAGAAAGTACAATTTTGACTTTATCACATTTCCAATGATGTTTCAGTGATGCCCCACCTGAATGACACTTGCCTGTGTCGTCTGTCCTTCTATGCATTTTCTTAGAGGATATTCTTCCATGAAGATAACACCCTTTATTAACCTTATTATTAATTTTTCTGCTGGGTGAAACCAAATTTGATTCTTTGAGTGGCAAATACCACCTATACTTAGTTACCCAAACCAAGATGATTATAGAACTTGTTTGTATGTTGTTCTTCTACCAGCCTATTATTTTTTATACCACTACATAACTATTCAAAGTTATATGTGCCAGGAAATAAAGTGCTGCATTTAAAGGAGTAAAACCAAGTAAAACATAAATGAGGGTGTAGTTTTTGTCTATTATTTTCCTCCATAAAATGAAAAGATGGAAGAAAATGAAGCTTATCATGAACTGAAAATCTTAGCGAGCTGAGTAAGACAAGTGATGGTCAACAAGTCCATTGGTGGCATTCAAGTCAAAGTAAGAAAAATATCAACAATATAGTGAGATTTTCCTAAAAATAATCCAGTTTAAAGAGTTATGCTTTCTTTTGAAATCACATCCTGTGTATATTATAGTGTTAAACATTCTTTAATGAAACACTAGTGTGTTTGTGTGTGTCTATGACTAAGCTCCCACTTAGTAATATTAAGTTGGCAATTTATATCTTTTTAGCCCATTTTGAAATGTGATGGTTTCTAAAGTTCACAAGTTTAAAAAAATCTAATCACTTGTCCTATTCTTTTAAGCCATTTTTAGTAAAATTCATCACTAAACACCATCAGTTCTTTAAGTAATGTCTGTCAAATATGACTTTTACTCTTTTATTATTAAAATGTTACTCTTCTAAGTCCTGGCTGACTTACAACTTCTAACTGTACTCAGAATCTCCTTTCCCTTTACATCTTTTTAAAAATACATTTCACAGGACACTATCCTTCAATACTTACAGAATAAAGTTCATTATCTTTAGGTCTTACTTAATAAACTGCATAATCTCAAACAACCTCCTCCCTCTTTAGATTACTCTTGTCCCCTAAATTACATGTATGATCCAGCACAGGTATACATAAATAAATGGTTTAGTCTTGCTCCTTAGTATGTGCTCAGTTTTGTTTAGTTTTTCTTCAGATACAGCAGACAGCAACAACTCCTACCTTGGATGCTTGAACACTGCCTTTTCTCTGTTGATTTTTGTGACTCCTTTTTCGTTAACCTAAGTTAAAAAGATACAAAGTATAGCTGCATTGGTGATGGTTTAAAATACAGTATAAGTATTTATCTTAATAGCAGATATTTGCAATAACTAGTTCTGTCATCATCTAAAATGTAGTAACACTACATTCATTAATGATCCTCTCCTTCAAAAAGCAGTGACTCTGCCAGACTCCCCATATTTCATTAATGTTTGGAAACACTTAAAAGAAATTTGCAAAATTATTACTCTCATATTTTATAACAAATCTTGGAGTCCATTTTACCACTGTGCCCCCTCTTTTATACTCTTTAGTAATCTAGTCACTAAGCCCCACTGTAAGTAATATCTGTCAAACATAGATTTTCCTTTCTTATTCTGTAAAACAGCACCCTTTTCTAAGCCCTGGATGACTTACTACTTCTAACTATACTCAGAGTCTCTATCTTTAAATTACTGAAAATACATGTTTCACAGGATACTATCCTTCAACATTTAGAGAATGAAATTCAAACTCCTTAGGACATTTCATAATCTGAAACAATCTCCATCTGTAGCTTGTCCACTAAGTTAAGTTTTTTGTTCCAGGCTTACTTTTAAACTTATTTCTCAAGAAAGGTCATTAAGCATTGAGTCTTTGCTCATGTTACTTTCCATAACTTAAGATACCTCCTTCATTTTTACAATCATCTGGCAACATTTTTTACCTTAAGACAAGGCTGTGTGTTATTCCATGAAATCAACACACATACCTTCCACCTTTTTTTTGTTGTTGTTATTGTTCTTCTCAATACTTACAACACCTTTTCAATATCACCCTCTTTTTACCCAATGTGAAATACACAACTTGTGTTCTTGTGTTTTGGAAGTATGTTTATAAAGTGGTTGTTTATTATGCATTTTCCTAGAAACACAACGTAACACCTAATGATTAGTTTCCTAGTCTCTACAGCTGATGAATACAGTTAGAGCAAGCTGAGAAAAAAAATCCTACGTTTCATTTTGCATATTGGTTTTTCACCACTTCTGAACTCAGAAATTCTTGAAAATTTTTAAGAGAAGCCTCTGAGAGCACAACAGGAGCACCTGTTAGCAGAGACTGCCTGGCTTTGCATCTGGGCTCTCACATTTAATAACAACCCTGTGACATCAGGAAAGCTATTTAACCTTTCTATGTCTCAGTTTCCTTACCTCTTTTAAAGAGTTTATTTATATTTAGAGAGAAGGGAAGGGAGGAAGAAAGGAAGGAAGGAAACATCTATTGGTTGCATCTTGTATGTGCCCAGACCAGAACCGACCCTGCAACCCTGGCATATGCCCCAACTGGGAATTGAATTGGAGACCTTTCGCTTTGCCAGATGACACCTGATCAACCCAGCCATACTAGTGAGGGCTCAGTTTCCTTAACTATAAGAAAGAAAGTAACAGTGCTTATATCATAAGGCTTTTGTGAATAATAAAGAGTTAATACACATTTGTATAATATTACAACAGTACCAAGAACATAAAAAATTCTGTATAAAATTTGTCACATGAAATATGTTTATGCAGGACTTCTAACACCTTCATAATAATCTATTTAAAAATATCTGTCCTATTTCTCCATGTGGATAATGGTAAAAAACACAGGCTCTCTTAGGCAGTTTTTAATATTCACTACATTAACCATGTAGACTTGTTATATAAAAGCTACTCAATAAATACTTGGTCATTCACTTAACTCACATGCATGATGTTGGACTTCCCCTTAAGAAGCGATTAAAATTAACGTAATTCCAAGAAATGTTTTTTCTAAGTTAAATAATTTAATCTGTACATTTAAAGGACATTTGCAAGGTATCTCATATACACAAATCATTTATATTTTATAGATAATATAAATTATTGAATCCAATGCTTTAGTAAATTCATTTTGCAAGGCAATATGTAAACCATGATCAATTTTTACAATTTGGCTAACTAATTTGCTTAAAGACTAGACTTGTTCTCAAAACTATGTATATTTTGTTTTAAAATGTTTGTTACCTTTTGTTTTTTACAACTGGAAACAGTAGTGTTTTTGTCTTGTTCCTGAGAGTCTTGACATTTGTCTACAGTGATACGTCGTTTTCTAGAAGAATTTGAAACATTTTTTATCATGCGCTCTGAAATTGAGGGTACTGTCATACAAGTACTGGATTTATTGATATTCCTCCTAGGTTTTACATGAACATTCATTTTTTCGTCTCTCTTTACTTGACAAGTGTTCTCTCTGTTATGCAGCATTTGGCACAGGATGAAGGAAAGGGTTAATTCAGCATTCTTCGCACATATTATCTTCATATGTTCAATAGTTTTCATGACTTTCACAGTATGGGCCATTTTTCCTAAATCTTTCTGTGAGGCAGCCAATAAATTTTTGAGCAGTGTAGAAAACTGATTGTAGTTGTATTCTAACTGTGTCATAGTGCTTCCATAATTTATAGATGCTATACATGGCACAAAGTCAATATATGTGGAAATGGAATACTTAGACTTCTTTAGAAGTTTCTTAATTTCTGAAAGTTCTTCAAGTTCTCTTGAGAACAAATGAAGAGCATATGAGCAATTAATAGCTTCATTATATTTGTAGGTAATATCCAAATCTTTCTTAAGTTCAGAAATAGCAGTCTCTATCACTTTCCAAAGATGATCTGTTGAGTTATCTTTAAGAAATGAAAAAGAAGCCATTTTTTCTTGGCAGCGAACAAGTTCAGGAAGAAGTGACATATCAAACCAAAGCATACCTCGAAATCTTTGTTTATCTAGTTTCTTTGCCATTGAGTTTTTAAGGAAGTGAACTGTTTCTGAGAGCATGGCTATTTCAATATAGGTTTCAGTGGCTGCAGGTTTTAAAATTATTGCCTCACAGTTGTGGTTTTCAATCACATCCAAAACGTTTTCTTCTGTGATAAAAATATCATCCCTGTTATCTTCTTGCAGCATCTGGAAGCATTTTTTTAAAACTTCTAAGTGTTCAGTACATCTCAAAGTGAGTTCCTGTAACTTTTTAAAGTCTGCAAATTTAGCTTGGTCCAATATTTCACTAATACAACAGATATCTGGGTGTAAAACTGAAGTACTGTTAAGCCTACAGTTTTCTATGTTAATTTTTCCTTTGTTTATTAGATCATCTAACTTCCTGGAAGTCATCATAGTATTCTCCTCAAACCCAATATTGGAAATTTGTTCACTACTTAAATCTTTAGACAATGTATCATATATCTCTTGCAATTTAGAAAAAGAATGTTGATTCATTTTGAGTAGTGTTCCTTTGTTCTTCTGTCCTGAGTATTTTTTGCTGAAAGATTGTTTCTTCTCTTTCCAAACAAGACTTTTTGCAGCATCAAAAAAGATATGTTCCAGACCAAAAAGAGATATATTGATACCTACTGCCTCACTGCTCTTGATGAAATTAACTTTTGAGGAGATCATTTCAATGATAATCCACAAATGGTCTCGTTTTCCTGGATAGGAATCAACTTTAGGAGAGTCCCCATACATACTGATTAGCTTTAAAGTACTTTTTCTTAAGGTTTCTAGGTCTCCTAAACTATCTCCAAAGTTAACCCCACAGGTAAATGGAACAGAAAGAGTAAAGTCAAAACAATCAGAACAATGCCTCAATATTGCTTCACACTCTTTAATCTGTCGTTTGCATTTTAAGAATGCATAGTATGAATTGTTTTCCTTTTTGGTGTCTCCTAATAATTCAATTAATTGATCGTGGTAGTTCTGCAACTCACAGAATGCATTATATTTAAGCCTTCCTTGAAAAGCAGGATAGAAATTGGATTGTTGTTGAAATCCACGTGGCCTGCCAAGCAGCTCACTGTACAATGTCTCATCATACCAAAGCAAGCTTCGGAATGTCGGTTCACCTCCTAAGAGCCTTTTTTTGTTTTCAATGAATTGAATAGTTTCCATCATCATTTGGAGTTCTACCAAGGAGTCAACAGCACATGGTTTTAATTTGTGTTTGCAATTACTCCACAGGTTTTTTTCTACCAAGAGGTCTCTTGAAATCAAGATTTGCTCAAGCGAACATTCTTGTTTTTTTTCAAAAGCTTCAACAAATAATGGAAGAATACTTTGACAAACCTTAGTTTCTTCCTGTAGTTTCTGCAAAGATGATGCTTCATCTGCCCTCCTCAAAATTTGAGCAAGCCTAGCTGTAAGACCTGAATCATCAGCTGAGCAATGTGTTTCTTTTAATTTATTCATGCACGATGTAGGATTCTTCTGAGGAGTAGAGACTTTGGAGGTTTCAGAGTGAGCACGTAAAAAAGGCATATGATTAACTCCTAATATGTCTGGTTTGCAATTACAGGCTAGTTCTGCATGCAAGGTAGAATCAGACTGAGAGTTAACACTAACTTTAACTTGCCCCTCTTTCTTTCTATCATTAAGCTGATTAGAAACTGCGTTATTCAAAGAGATTGCCTCAGTATTCTTAATGCTTTGATGAGAATCAATCAAGTTATTTTTAATTGTTTTCTCACTTACGCAGGCGTCATCTGCTAAAGTTTTATTCTTTTGATTTCTGTACTCATTCTTAACAGTTGATCTTTTGGTCATGCTTTTTTTGTGAACCGAATCTTTGGCTTTTTCAGTTTGTTTAATTTTCCACATTTTTCTGTCCGGAATGTTTTTCTTTGAAGTACATTGTTTTGAAGAACCCTTTATATCATCTTTTAAGAGCAGAGAACTATCACTAAAAAAAAGTCTCTTCATTGTATTTTCCCTGTAACTTTTACTTTCTTCAGTTACTGGTATGAGATCCAACTCAGAATTCTCAATAACATGTGTTTCATTCCTGTCTATCTGGACACAACTACTTGGATACCATTGTTCTGTCTTTAGAAGCTTCTTTCTATTACATTCTTGCTGACAGTGTGGAACATTGGTGCATGTTGAAAAAGAATCTATAGCAAAAGCTCTCTGTTCATCCAAATATGTTTTTTTAGATTCTCTCTCATTATCTGTCACTGGAGCAGCTGCTAATTGAGGAAGAATATTACACTTTTTGCTTGTTATCAGAGTTTGAGGTAATGGGTCCAAATGGACATTTCTTGTGATAGTGCCTGGAATGGAGTTTTTACTGGGAGATGTCCATTTTTCTAGAAAATTTACTTCCAGGTTTCTTTTATAACCAGGTGAAATAAGGTTATCTGGTTTGTAGTTATCAACATTCAAAAAGTGCTTCACATCTGATTCTAAGACTGAAATAACTATGTCAGTTTTCACTTGTGTGTGAGCTATACAAGTTGCATCATAATTTTCGTCTGTGCTAAAACTTACATTGTTTTCTTTTATGCAACTTAAAGATACTGAATTAGTTTTATTTATTACTTCAGCAGCCTCAGCACTTTCTTTTACTGTATCTTCATTATTATGTGCTAAATGGTTCTCAGGCTTTTCATATTTATTGTTAGATAAAGACTTTACATCAACTTGATGTTCTTTTTTAGTTAGTTTTTTATCTGGGCAATCTGGAGAAAACAGACACCCCATTTTTCCAGAAAAGGGTTGAAGTTCTAAGGATTCTGGATTTTTCATATAGATATTGTTATAAGTTGACTGACTTGTACTTTGGGATGTGGAGCCCGGAGTTAACTGTGATTCAGGATATTCTTGATCACAAAATTCTCCCATGTGAATGGTGCTGTGGCTCCTGGAGACACTGTTGGCCACATTTTTCTTAGAAAAGCACTTTCTGGTTTTCTCTTCACTTGTTCTATCAAATTGGCACTTTGATACATGAGTTAATGATTTATTAATTTCAAATCCCAAAGCTCTTTTCTCTCCTGATTTGTCATATTTTCTTTTTGGAAAAAAATGCTTAGTGGAGTAATATCTTCTTTCAGAAACAGAACCATAACCTTGAAGGTCACAAATTTCCCAGAAATTATTGCATATTATTTCATATGATTTTGGTAATGGACCCTTTCTTGTTTCTCCCACTTTAGCTATAAGTTCCAAAGATGTGTTAACTCTTCTGTGAGCTTTTTTTAAGTAAAGAAGAGCACTGTCAAGTTTTTTGGAAAGACATTTGCTTTTGCATAGAGATACTTCACTATTTAGAATGTCCAGGACACTTCGAATGTGTTTTTCTGACTGTGAAAAGGTTTTAATTCGTCCTTCAGATAATGAAGAAAAACATTCAGATGAGTCTTGCTTGATTAGCCTCCTCTTCTTTTCACTGAGTTCATGATGTGGTAAGCTCTGGTCCCTAAAATGTGTACGTAGCTTTCTTTTGCTAATTTTTGATTCTGTGTCTCTTTTACTTCTCGTATCACTGCAAACAGTTTTTGAATTTGTAAGGGAACATCTGGATTCATTGTTTATTGTGACACTTGGAGATTCAATAGGCGGAGGTCCACTGCTTTGTTCTTTAGACATATGATTCATGTGTATATTATCACTAAAGTCAAAAGAAAGTGAGATTCCAGATTCACTCACTATTCCAGATTCTTCCTTTATATTACCAAATTCATCTGCAAATGAGTAACGTGAATTTTCACAACACTGGGAGTACATTTCAAATCCAGGAACTTTCCCCTCCTCTTCACTTATTTCTGGTTTTGTGGCTTCAGTCATGTATTTGCAAATACTATCCTTCAATGAAAAGGACTTAACAGTGGAACTGATTCCTGGCGTAAGTGTATTAGTAATTGTAATTTGTAGATCTGGAAGTAAAATTGGGTTGAAGAGCTCTGCTTTGTTTTTTTGTGTAGAGGCATAATCAGAGTAATGTTGATCACTATGCTCCCTTCTTGTGGTGCTTCTCAAAACTTCCTTCTCCCCATTACTGCTTCCTAGAAGACTTTCCCAATCAATACGAGATTTCAGTTCCTCATATATTGCCCCAAACTCTTCATACAGTGCATTTTCATGGCTATGAGTGTCTTGTTGAGATGGAAAAGCATCATCACACTCTTCTGATACTACTTCAATCTCACTTTCCAATTCAATACTTTGAAGAACTACATTATCACCTATTGACTTATGAAATGAGTTGTGTGATTTATTTTTATCCATATGCATTTCATAGTCAGAAACCCTACATTTTACTAACCCCAAATCTGGACTCTCAGAACAAGTTTGTTTAAATTTGTATCTTTGGTGATCTTCATTTGTTTCTAATGTGGGCACTACAGTATCATCCATCTGTAATATAGCATTTGAGGCTAAATGCTCTGAAGAACCTGAGGTTTTGCAAATATTGGGATGCTTTATACTCCTTACAGTATTTTGTATATCTTTTTGTTTTATGGCAGTGAGAGTATCTTCAGTTTCTAATAATGTAGTTTCTTTTGATACATATTTTTCCCCCTGAGGCAAATTAAATGTAGTAAATTCTTCAGAGCTCAGAATTTCTACATTATTGTAATTTTTATTCTCCCATCTTTCATCTATAATAAAACTTTTGTTTGTATGAAAACCCTGCCTCTCATTTCTGCATATATTTTCTATGTTGTTTTCTGTAGATGAAACAATGTCTTTCCCTTTAGCCTCATTTAGGTTTTCTTTATCATCTCTTTGTTCTTCGAAACTAACAGTGAGGTGTATATCACTATTCAACTGTTCATTACAAAACAGAGTATGACCTTGACCTTTATTGTCAACTTGAGAAGTTCCAAAGTCTCTCTGAATCATTTCTAATAACATTGGATCATTTTTATTTTTTCTATTGATACATGTATGTTCTCTTGCCATGCTGCAATCTGAATTGTCATGAGCTATTTTAATGTCATGAGATAATATAACTACATTCATTGGTAGGTCTTTGACTTGGGAAATGTCTTTTGCTTCCTGGAAAGCATCGGTTATAATGCTAACACAGTTTTGATTTGTTCTTTCTAATTTCAGTTCCATTAGTTTTTGAGAAATGGCAAAATTGCTATGAACGTCATCTTCATTCTCCAAACAGTGTTGAGGATGCTTTTGTGAAAGGCTCTCCACTCTTGGAGTAAGATTATTTTGTAATTCCAATGGTAGATAATGTAGCTCATAATTTGTGGTAGGTGTGGAAGATTTTGATATTTCTAACTCCTGAGGGATTAATCTTTGATCACATTTTCCCTCCAAATAATTAAGACTCTTATCCTCTTTGTATTCTTGGTGCAAAGAAATGCTATTATCTGTTGGACTGATTTTTGTTTCGTTAGTACAATAATTATCAATCTTTCCCCACAAATTTTGCTTTGCTACGTGTTTGGAACCATCTTCTAGGCCAGTGAAGTTTCTCACTTTTCCAATGTTTTGAATGTACTCATGTATACTTTTTTCCTTTTGGAACTGAAAAACTGCAGACATCTGGTGATTAGTCTGACATGTAGTTTTTAAATTAGAAGACTCTAATTCCTGAGAAATGTGATTGTTATATCCTTTTGTACAAATATTCACTGATTCATAAGAGTTATGTGGCTCACTATTTTGTTCAATTAAAAGTGGGATGTTACTTCTCTGTTGAGATCTCTGGGGTTTTTCCGCACTGTGTTTTTGGTTCTTAACTTCTGGAACTCCATTTGACAAACACATAGGGAAAGAAAAATTGTCTTGGTCCTGACATTGTCCTGCCATAGTAATTTTATTGGGAGTTGTATAATAATCACTGTCCTGAGAGCCCATGTTGTGAGCCTGAGCTTGTGAATCATCAAAAGAAATTTTGAAGCAAGGTGCATCCGAACAATTAGTAAGAATAGCATCATCACCAGGCATGACTTTAGATGAGGAGGCAGAATTAGTTGGCATAGTGAGGTTAATTCCTGAATTAACAAAATCTAAACTCTTTTTAAATGGCAAAATGTTATTTAAACCTGTAATATTATTATGTTTTTCTATACTTTCTTCTCTCCTAAGTCTTGGGTCTTTGATGAATTTTGAAGTAATAACTGTGCTTGAGCCAATATTGTTATGAAAAGTAGCAGGAAGACCACTTAAAACATTTTTAAGATGCGTCAAATTTAACAAGTCACCATTAACATTTTCTTTGGTATCACTGGAAATAAATGAAAGACCTGAATCATCTGCTTGTACTTGAGAAGTGTCTTTACATTGTGTTAAATTGTGCTTCATCTGTCCACTGTGTGTTTCAATTACAGAAATGTCTCCATTTTGCACATTTTCATAGGAATTAGCAGTATTTGAGTTGGAAGAATTTATCTCTGAACTTAGTGCACTGCATGAACAATTTTCCTGAACAAACAGATCTACAGGTTTTCTGAAATGCTCAAAGATGATAGTAGCATCTTTTCCTTTTCCAATTCTTTTGGCCACTGTACAGTTATTTAGACAGCATGTCCTTTCTGTGGAAATAAAAAGAAAATAAGCAAATATAGGAAGAAAAAGTAATTTTACAGACAACCCTATTAAAAATGTTTAATTTAAATTTCATCAAGTAACCTAGTGATGATTAAACTATGTTATCAGTAGAAGCAGCAAGGAGCACAAAAGATGAGTAACAAATGAATAAATTATAAATGATGGAACATGAAATTGGTCCTTAAGACCTTACCAAATAAAGTATTTGCCATAAAAAAATTGCATTCTGTCAAATACTAAGAAATAGAAAAATTAAATAGGAATAAAAATATGTTACACACCAGGTATTTCTCATATTAATTTTCTATATTCAGGTATTTAATAGTATCTACATATTAATAAGTAAAATTGTCTCCTTCTACCTACTGTTACCTTGATTTATCTCCCTCTAACACCAGAGAACAAAAAACAGAAAGGAAAAAGGAATGAGATAGGGAACTAAGGAAGAAGAGATCAAAAAGGTTCCACAAAATCCTTCCCAGGAGTCAAAAGCAAACTACGACCCCTGCTGCACAGTTAAGTAAGTACTTCTGCAAATAATATGTAAATAAAACCTGGAAAATAGAACAAAATTTTTCTTTTATAATTTATAAAAATATATTTCTAAAATTTCATAAACTTTATGGAATCATAATAACAAAGGAATTTAAAGAAGTGTGTATTTAGCAAGTAAAATGTTCAGAGAGCACTCATAGCTAAGTTATACCATGAAAGTATCTTTATTAAAACAAATTAATGATGAAAAATTCCTTCTGAGATATATGACATAGGTAAGTTTAATCATATCACTGGGAAGTAACATGAAGTTCTTTTTCACAATATATTAAAAGATTGTTGAAAACTTCTAAATTCTATAACCGTTTGTGATTACATTTAAAAAAATCAATATATTTTATTGATTATGTATTATTACAGTTATCTCAATTTTTACTCCTTTGCCCCCCTCCACCTGGCCACCCCTCATTCCCTCTGGCAGTCCCTACACTTACTTCACCTCCATGGGTCATGCATGTAAGTTCTTTGGCTACTCCAGTTCCTATACTGTTCTTAACATCCCCCTGTCTATATTCTGTAACTACCTATTTGTACTTCTTAATCCCTGTACCTTTCCCCCTTTCTCTTCCTTCCCCCTCCCAACTGACAACCCTCCAAACGATCTCCTTATCTATGATTCTGTTCTGCTTGTTTGCTTAGTTTGTTTTTTATTTACTTTCATTTTTTTCAGAGGAGAGCGTGAATGCAGTCCTCCACTACCAATTATGCCATTGCGTTTCCCATATTTGGGGAAATCGCAGGGGTCAGCACATGGGAGTACAACAGATAAGCTTCACCCTGGGAAAACCACCTTCGTGATCATGGTATGTACCCTGCCAGGTAAGTATGCTTAGTTTGTTTTTTAGATTCAATTGTTGATAGTTGTGAATTTACTGCCATTTTAATGTTCATAGTTTTGGGTCATCTTCTTTGTCTTAAGTAAGTCCCTTTAACATTTCATATAATAATGACTTGGTGATGATGAACTCCTTTAGTGTTACCCTGTCTAGGAAGCCCTCTATCTGCCCTTCAATTCTCAGTAACAGCTTTGCTGGATAGAGTAATCTAAATTGCAGGTCCCTGCCCTGATGCCAGATAGTTCAGTTTCTCCCTGTATGCCACAGGTGACCTTCTAGCTGCTGCCCCAATGCTGGAGCCCAGAGGAAGTGAGTCTGCCTAAGTCCTAAGTCCATTATGGGCCCTTTAAGAGGAAATTCCTGAGAAACCTGAAGTTTAGTTTCTCCTGCCACCCCAAGCCCCCACTTGTTTTTATTGCCAGAAGTTATGGAAACTCACCTTCCTGGCACTGGAACCCTAGGCTGAGTGGTCTGGTGTGAAGGGGGGATTCCTCACTTCTTCTGAGGTATCCCTCCAGGTTTTTATCTACCACATGTGAGTGTGAGACCGTCCGTTCCATGTCTCCGCCCCTCCTCCCTGTCTGGATGAATATGACTTAATTCCTTGGTTGTGGAATTCCCATACAGCTCGATTTTCTGATGATTCTGGGCGATAGTTTGTAGTTTATTTGTAATTTTTGCTGTGGTTAGGCAAGGAGGTGAGCCATGTTTACCTGCACCTCCATCTTGACTAGAAGTCCCAATTATACTTTTTAATTACCCTAGGCTACAGCAGAAATATGCCCTCAACTAGAGATGTAATTCTAAAGACTGGGAATCTTATTAGTGAACAGATAAAAGGAAAGGTACCATAGATTCCCATACCTCCTTACACCGAAATAAAATAACATGCATTGTAAATAAATAAAAACCATAAAATTATTACAAGAAAACATGGGGAACAGCTGTATAATCTTGGTATAGAAAAGTATGTCAGAAGAACAAAAATTTAAAAATGAAGTGAATTACATACAAACGAAACTCAGAAGAATAAACTGGTAAAAAGTATATTGTGAATGAGACAACTTAGTACACACTTATAAGTTAGAATACATAGAGTATACAGAGGATCTTCAAAAGATTAACAAAAAGAATACAACAGAGAAGTGCGCAAAGTACATTAAAAATCACAATTTAAATAAAAGTTGTCAATAATCACAAAAAGATGTCCAACCTTGCTAAGTAAACAAGATTCATATTTAAAAAATTTTTAAACTGACAAAGATTTTGAAAGATAATTAATACTCTGCATATGTAAGCACTTTTAAACTGTTTATAAACTGGGAAAGTAAATCTACAGCAGTCATCAAACTTTAATGTAATCTACACCCCAAAAATACACTTTTATGATTTATTCTTCTGACATACCAATACCCAAGATATACATACAAGAAGTTTTAGTGCTGGCCAAACCTTGGTCTGTTTGGGACTCACCCTAATGACTCCCTAAGACCTCTCTCCCCACCACAAGGAACTTGGTGGGAGTCATCACAGACCCAGCACTGGCACTGAGTTTGAACCTGCATCACTGGTGAACACCACTTGCCCTTACCTGGTGACCCATAGGAACCTACTTCATGCAACATGAGCACTGTCAGAGGCTATTTCAGTGGCTGAGCCTAATAGGCAGAGGCAGATCTCAGAGCACATTGGGACATTTGCTGACCTGTCCCTGGGGCCAGTGCCAGTAAATGCCATCCTAGGTGTGCAGCTCGGTCCTTCCAATGCACACACATGCCCAGAAGAGGCAGCCACAAAATGTGGATTTGTAGCTCCAAAGAGGTTGTCTGACATTGACCTGCACCAGAGTCACTGCCAAGAGTCCCTCCCCAGAAGCAACACACACAGTGGCCAGCTTTAGGCAACATCAGAGCAGGATCCAATTAGCTTCACAAGAGTCACAGCCCAAGAAAGATTGTGGCAGGCACCACACCCTGCTGAGGTCAATTCCACTTCATGTGGTCAGCACCTGCACAGCAGCTCGTACACTGTGGTCAAGCTCAATTTTCAAAGTCAGGCAGCCTAGAGGTCTACCCTACACAAAAATGGGCCAGTAACAATCAAGACTCAATTACAACAGGAGGGCCCACACAACACACACAAGGGACATTCCTGGAGCACCCAGATCAGAGGATCGAGGAGACTATGCTAGTGGGTCCCACAGGACACCTACTACGCAAGGCCTCCTTACCAAGACTGGGAGTCATTGCAGGTCTACCTACTACATAGAAACAGATACAAACAGGCAGCCAAAATTAGGAGACAAACATGCCCTAAATGAAAACAGGAGAAATCTCCAAAATAAGGGCTAAATAAAATGGAGGGCTAAATGAAATGGAATCAGATACAAAGCTCAAAAAAAAAAACAGTTATAAGAATGCTCAAAACACTAGTGAGAACTTCAACACAGAGATACAGAAAAATACACAGAAACCATAAAAAAGAACCAGTCAAAAAAGAAAGATACAATATCTGAAATGAAGCATACGCTAGAAGGAATAAATAGGCTGGATGAAGCAGAGGATTGAATCTGCAATCCAAAAGACAATGTGGGAGAAAACACACAATTAAGAACAACAAAAAGAAAAAAGAACTGAAAAAATGAGTATCATTTAAGAGAACTTTGGGACATTAAGTGTAACAACATCCACATCATAGGCGTACAAGAAGGGGAGAGAGAGAGAGAGAGAGAGATCGAGAACCTATATGACTAATAACTGAAAACTTCACTAACCTTGTGGAAGGAAAAGACACATAAGTTCAGGAAGTGCAGACAGTCCCAAAGAGCATGAACCCAAAAAGACCCACAACAAGACACATCATAATTAACATGGCAAAGGCTAAGGACAAAAATTTTAAACCAGTAAGAGAAAAAAGCTGACAAGGGAGCTCACATAAAACTGTCAACTGATTTCTCAATAGAACCATTTCAGACCACAAGGAACTGGTATGAGATATTCAAAGTGATGAAGAGCAAGGATCAGGAGCCAAGATTACCCAGCAAAACTATAATTTAAAATTGAAGGAGAAATACAGAGCTTCCCTGAGGGGAAAAAAAAGGAAAAGAGTTCATTACCACCAAACCATTTTTACAGAAATGTTAAAGGATTTTAAGAAGTAAAAGACAAAAAAGAGAAACATAGTTATAAAAAATAAAATGTATATAAATATGCACTTATCAATAATCACTTTAAATGTAAATGGCTTAATACTCCCTACAAAAGACTCTGGGAAGATGGCAGGATAGATAAAGGCAGTACTTGCTTCCTCGTACAACCACATCAAAATTACAACTAAGCTATAAAAACACCATCATTAAAACCCCCTGAAATCTAGCTGAATGGAAGTACTACAACTAAGGATATAAAGAAGCCACATCAAGACTGGTAGGAGGGGCGGAGATGAGGAATAGGCTGGTCTCACCTCTACATGTGATGGATGAAAATAGGGAGAGATATTTCAGTTGCAGGACCCCCAGAGAGGAGTGAGGAGTCCCAGCCCCCAAACAGGCTCTTCAGTGCAGAGTTCCAATGCCAGGAAGATAAGTCTTCGTA